ATAGATTCCTTTAACATTTACTATTTATTAAGAGCCAGATTTGTTTATTTTCACTAAATTTTAGCTAACATAAATTACTTAGCTTAATTAAAACTAAAACACAAAAAGAAAAAACACCCCAAGTAGCTTATATGTAACATCTATCTTCTTAATGAGACAAAACTATGTTGGTTTCAGACAAAGAGATAAAATTTCATTATTTAGACATGAAATTTCCTCTTGGAGGAATTTTTTTGTTATATTACATTTTGTTGAACCTACCATTTGTAGCTTTTCAAAAAAGAAAGACATCAAGAAGTTTGAAACCACTGGAAGATTTTTTTTTTTTCTTTACATCATTGGAATCAGTCTAGTTCAAGTTTATTCCAGAGGGCCAAATTCAACTAGATCAAATCATAAAATATCCTAGCTGGAAGAGAGCTCAGAAGGGGTCCTTTTGTCTGGAGATTAGCAACCCTAGAGCCTAGGGCCAACTCATTCATTCATTCAAAGTATTTATTGAGAAAAGTAGAGCTGTTTGAATCAGCTGTCCCCAGGCATCTGAACTTTCTCTTGATAGGGCAGGCAGTGGAGGAGGACGAGGAAGATGGGTATTGGTGAGTGAATGGCTTCATGTGGGGGACATCACCTTACCCCACTGGAGCACCACAGTGCGCTGGCATCTGCCGTTTGGAGGGTACCTGCCCTGTGGAGCTCAGGCAGAGGAGTCTTATAGCCACGTGAGCAGGAGGTAGGGCAGTGTCCCAAGAGTGTGGTTCAACAGGCACTCAGTGAATGTGGCATTGGGTAGAATGAATGGATCCTATGCCTTGGACTTCACTTCTTTGAACCTGTTTCCCCATCTGTGAAGTGGGCCTGATGATAGCAGCTTGTGGGAGTGTTTTGAGCATGCAATCAGATGATGTGTGCGAATGGTCATTTTGAACTGGAAAGCACCCCAGACAAATGTCAGGGCTGAGACGAAGAAGCTTCCTTTCTCTGGCTATAAAACAATGCCAGTTTTCTCACTGACATTCTTCTATTCAAAAAGTTGGAAATGTAAGATATAGCAATGAATATACCTTCTGATCCAGGAGACTCAATAAAACTATTTTTTATTTCAAATGGAAAAAAATGTATCCCGTAAGTTTCCAATTGAGTCTATTGTAAATCAGGTGCTTACCTCCATTCCCTTGCAAATGGGGAGAAGGCCAGAAATGAAGTGACTTGCCCATAGTCTCATGGGGAGTTAGTGACAGACCTAGGCCCGGAGCCAGCCCAGTCCTTATTCCACTTGACTGCACACACACGAGTACATGCACACACATACATGTATGCACACACACATTCTGTCTCTACAACCAGTTCCACTGAATGCAACAGAAATGACTGTGACCCTTGCAGGCAGCCAGGATTGCAAGGGTGAGGGTTATATACAAGTAGGCAGCAAGTTTAGGCCCAGAGAAGACGTGATTGTCCCTTAAGAAACAGACATCTGAGAGAAACCCTGGTTCCTGATATCAGACGGAACTATTTAGTCCCCTGAGCAGGTCTTTTCTTGTCTGCCTGAGTGAGATGTGTGTCACTTCTTTGGTGCACTACCTCCAGCACAAGCTAAACTTTCCCAAAATGTGGGCTCCAAATGTGGAAACAGGTGGCATGGCATGGGCACAGACCTCACTGTGTAAGAAGCCAATTCAACCAGGTGCCCAATTCCTGCAACAGTCTCAACTCTCACTTGTCTTTTAACTAGCGTTTGTGTTGCTTTCCACCCTAATTGGCCTGTGTTCATCTCTCCTTGCTCTGCAGTCCAGCAGGGACCTGGCGCCAAGCAATCTAATCATTCTGGTGCTGGCACTTAACTCAGCTGCTTATTTGCATATCTAAAGAGTCGCTGAAATAAAATACAGGGAAGGTCAGTTCTCGGCCACTGAGATATCCAAGAAAGTATATAGAGTGAGTCTTTTCATCAAAAGTTCCAAGGACTTCAGGCATTTCAGATTTTCATTAACTTTATTGATTCTTCTGTCAATGAGGAAAAGAGATGAGAAATCATTTAAAAATGGGGTTGAGAGGCAGAATTTTAAAGAGTAAAAATTACAGAATGCGAGTCTTCTAAACTCCTGGGGCACCTGTCTTTTTTTCCTCCTTGTCCTTAATAATAATTAAAGAAAAAATAAATAAATAAAGCACTGACCAAGTGCCTGGGAACTGGCAACATGGGGCTGGTGGACACAGGATGCTGCTCGCAGCACAGACATTGACCTGGCCTCTGCAGGAGCCACAGCCTGAAGCAAATTCTCTGACTGCACTTGAAAGTGTTGAATGGTACTTTCTTCCTTTCCTTTTGTCAGTGTAGATAGACAGAAGTGACCTAGGTAATTCAAAAGGGAGAAAAATCCCTAAATCATGCATGTTTGCCTTCAGAAGGTGATGTTTTTATATTCAGCTGTGAGTTGTTTCAGCCCTGCTATCTCTCTCCTGACCTCCAGATACATAAGTCTAGCTGCCCACAGGACACCTCCTCTTGAAACTCTCATGACCCTCTCTAACTTAGCACATCTAAAATGGAACCCACCATTCCACCACCTTCAGCCATGCTTCCTACCCTCCTCTTTAGGCAGCACCTGTGGGGGTGGCACCTTTTATTACAAGGATCGGGGATGCCAAACCAGAAATCTCCCTGGGTCATCCTTGCCCTCTTCTCCCTCCGCTCTTCACCTCTTCCCAAGTCTTCCCGCTCCTCAGACTCTACTCCCACTCCCCTAATCCAGGTTTCCAGTTCTCACCCCACCAGGATTACTGAAACAGCCTCCTAAGCATTCTCTCTGCTCCCTCTCTCCCTCTCCAGTCCACATCCCATGCTGCTATCAGAGCTCACTTCACTGCTTACTTAAAACCCTCCATCGACACGTTGCTGCTGACAGCACATGGTCTAAGGCTGTGTGCAGGGCTCTTCGTGATTGGCCTGTCCCATCTACCTTCCCAGCCACATCTCTTCCTTGATATCAGGCTCCAGAAGCACAGCTGAGGTGTTCTCACGTCCCCTGGCACACTGGACTTCCCCCCAGTTCTGCCCCTCTGCTCCTCCACTTTTACCTGGAGTGCGTATCCCATTGGCCTTTGCCCGGCTATTCCTACCTGAGTCAAGGCTCAACTCAGGTGTCACCTCCTCTGGGAAGCCTCTCTGCTCTTCATCCTCCCCACTCCATCAGTGGCAGGTGAGATACCCTGCTGCATGCTCCCCAGTAGCCCATACTGGCCTCTACTGATAGGTATGTTTTTTCGAGTTGTAATTTTGATTGAGGTGTGTGGTACTAAGGTTGTATCTGAGTTCCTGTCAGCTTTCCATACTGGCCTTCAAGCCACTTCATCTCAAGAACCACATTTTAGTCATTTTTGCCTCTGTTGCCTTGGACAGTGCCTGGCATATAGCAAATGTCCCATAGATGTTGACTGAATATTAGTGAAAAAGTAAATTCACTCCTCTATTTCAAGGGAAATAATGGAATAAGGCTGTGGTTCTGCCTCCAGGAAAGCTGGCACAATTTTTGCAGTTTCTCTGCCTGTTCTTGTGCTCAGGCCTGGCATATAGCAAATGTCCCATAGATGTTGACTGAATATTAGTGAAAAAGTAAATTCACCCCTCTATTTCAAGGGAAATAATGGAATAAGGCTGTGGTTCTGCCTCCAGGAAAGCTGGCACAATTTTTGCAGTTTCTCTGCCTGTTCTTGTGCTCAGCTCCTCTCTGCTCCCCTCTGCAGGTGGGCTGCAGTCTTTAGTCCATCCCAAACTATGGAGCATCAGTCCCAAGGAGAGCAATCCTCTTCTCCAAATGTACCATTGCACACCTTTCCTGGCTATATCACTTGACTGCTCTGCGTGGAAAATTACAGAAAATCCAACTTCAATGGGCTTGAATGATAAAGAGGATTTCTCAGCTCAGGTCCTAAGGCAGTCCAGAGAAAAGTGGAGATCAGGCAAGGCTCAGTCAGGTCTCTGCCTGTTTCCTGCAGTTGTCTTGGCTTCACCCTTTCTCTACCCCTTGGCATCACCCTCAGGCTGCCAGGGGTATGGTGTAATTTGAAGTCAGGGCCACACATTACAGTATCAGAGGAAGAGAAGCTGTATCTAAAGAACTATGGTTCTGTTCTCTCCAGAAGTTTCTAGCAAACTTTCCCTCACACTTTATTGTACTGAATTGGATCACATTCTTTTACTGAGACAATCCTACTGGTTGGGAAATGGCATGCACTGATTGGCTTGGGTCTGGTGTCCTGAAGAGCAAGGAACCCCTTAGAGCTGGGGTTCTGGTGTGCAGGCTGCTGGGAGGAGGGGTGGATACCTAAATGAAAACCAGGGTATGGAGAAGAGGAGGAAAACGGCTCAATGCCCACTGTGCTAGCACCAAGCAGGACATACTCTCCCCTTAAAGTCTTCCTCTTCTGGTTCCTGGTGGGTTATAGCAGAAACCCTGGAATTGGAGTTTGTGGAATTACAAGAAAAGTTGTTTCAGTTCAGAATCAATTCAACAGTGTGTGTGTGGGGGCAGTGTGTAAGTAGGACAAGGGTGGACAAGGATGCCCTAGTGCTTTTTCTATGAGGGTTTCTTTCTCTTACTAGTGCAGTTGGGAATAGATTAGGTCTCCTGGCTTGTCCCCTCAGGGTCCCTAAAGCAAACATGGGGCCTCTTTGAGGCTTTCTAAAAGTTTTTTACAGAGGGGTAGTAGCTGGAGAGAGTAAACAGCTTCCTCTGCCTACTCCCTGATTATCTCACTCTTTCTCTTTTCCCGTTAGGCTCTGTGGAACAACACCGTGGCTGCTGGTGGGTCCTTATTGTAAAAGCGAGGGCTGTCCTGGGAAACCAGGCTGTGGCCCACCCTGACTCTGAGAATGGTGACGATTCTCACCGGGCACCAGCAGGAGGGCTTTTTATCCCCCCCTTCCAGTAGCTCTGAATGTTTTGCCCTGTTGGACCAATGACCCTTCTGATTACTCTGTCCCTTCTTGTCCCCTCCAGATGTTCGACTGGATAAGCCACAACAAGGAGTTATTCCTCCAGAGCCACACGGAGATTGGAGTCAGCTACCAGCACGCCCTAGACCTTCAGACGCAGCACAATCACTTTGCCATGAACTCCATGGTGAGCACAGGGGCTGTTCTTAGCACCACCTCTGGGACAGGAGGGTAGGGGAGAGAGAACTGGGGGAGAGGGGGAGGGGCAGACCTGAGTAAGAATAAGGAACTCTGAACATGTGGACCCTTTAGCATTCCATTTGCTACAGTGGGGACCTGTGCAGGGCACAAGGCCAGCCAGCTGTTCCTGCAGCAGATTATGTATGGCCCCATTTCTGCCTCTGGATGCTGCTTTACACCATCAAAGGAATGCACTTGGGGTACTAGGAGGCATTAGCTCAGCACAAGACTAGAAGAAAGGCGAGTCACCAGTTCCACTCCGCTGACTTAACTCACGTTTTTCCGACCCTGGCATGTCTGAGTCACTGAGCTGAGATGGTACATTAGCTCAGCACAAGACTAGAAGAAAGGCGAGTCACCAGTTCCACTCCGCTGACTTAACTGACGTTTTTCAGACCCTGGCATGTCTGAGTCACTGAGCTGAGATGGTGAGGGGCCTTAAGCTATGGCACATTGGAAATGGTTGAGTGAATTGGGGCTGTTTACACTAGGGAAGAGGAACCCTACGGGACACATGATTGCTGCCTTCAAATATTTGAAGGGCTGTGTTGGAGAGAAGAGAATAGAATTGCTTTATATTGGTCTAGGGGGCAGAAATGTCCAGGGAAGCAGGACGTGGTTTGGGGGCTGGGGCTGGGGTGGGATGCAGCCAGAGTGAGTGAGCTCCCAATGATGGGGAGTTCAAGCAGATGCTGAGTTCAGAGAGGGCTATATAGAGCTGAGTGGCCATAAGGAATTTACTTTGCCTCTTTGCACTTCAGTTTCTTCATCTGTAAAATAGAAATAATAATTACTACCTTATGAAGTTGTGAAGATTCAGTGAGTTAATTGTAAAACAATTGGAACTGTGCCTGGCACATAGTAAGTCATCAGTAAATGCTGGTATTATGATAATGATGAGGATGTAGGAGTCTGGTTCAGAAGGTACCTGTGATCCCTCATAAACCTAACACTTTGGGATGCTATTTTTTCCACATGGTTACCCCAAAGCTTTATTTTGAAATCCTCCTTAATCCCATTCTATCCCAAATGCCTTCTGCCTAAGTATGCCTTTGCATCTCTCTCTGCCCCCCTCTGCCAGCTCTTCCTTCTTGCACTGTTTGTCCAGAAGAATAGCTCCACCACTCCCCATATATCTGAAAATCAGACACTCCTTACCATTGCAGCTGGTGATGCTGGGTGTTGGACAAGTGTTAGAAAAACATAAACATGGAGGATCACAGAAGCTAAGAAGGAAGAGAATTTCATTTTCTACCAGGTTCTTAAAAATATGCTATGCACTGGAGTTAACACACTGAAAAATAAAAATTTATGGCCTCCAGTTGTTTAGTGTCTATTTGGAGAGAGAAAAACACAGACAGTCATGGTGTAGCTTGATATGTGCAATGATAGAGATATGCTGAGTTAACTAAGAATCTTAAAGTTCGGTGGTTTAAAACAACAGAGGTATATTTCTTGCTCCTATCACACCCTCATCACTAGTTGGTAGCAGCTCTGCTCATCACAGTAACTCGGACTGGGCTGTTGAAGCAGCTCCCATCTCAGGTGCTGCCAGTTGCCTTGCCAGACAAAGCATGTAGCCAGTACACATGCTGCTCTGAAGCCTTTCTCCTAGAAGTAACACATCAGCTCACATCTCATTGGCCAGTGCTGTCACACCACCACATCTCACTTCAAGTCATTGGGGATGTGCAGTCCTACCACATGAGGGAAGGAGAGCGTGGGATGGTTGTGAACAGCCCTAATGACTAGCACAGAGAGCCACTGAAGGGTGTTGGGTAGAGGTGAACATCATGAGATTTGCACAGACAGATCACTCTGGCTGCAAGATAGAAGGCTTTGAGACCAGGCAGGGAAATCATCAACACTGATTGTGTTACCAATTTTGGCCACAACAGTATTGTGTCTGCATCTAAATGTAAAGAGTCATTCCCTTCCAACCAGTCTCCTGTAAGTATTTCTCATCTCTGGCTCACTTTACTCACAGAGGAGCAAAGCAATTGATCTCAGGTGATTAAGAAAATGAACTCGGGGCCGGCCTGGTGGCGCACTGCTACAGTGCGCCGCTTGGGAGTGCGGTGGTGCTCCCGCCGAGGGTTCGGATCCCACATACAGACCGGCCACTCACTGGCTGAGTGAGGTGTGGGCGCAACACCGAGGGTTGCGATCCGTTGCCGGTCACGAAAAAAGACAAAAAGGAAAAAAAAAAAAAAAAAA